AATAAACCTAGCGGTTAATTTGTCAAGCACTAAACCTAAAACAACTAGGCTCACCTATGTGCACCAACAACTTATGCTAAGCAAGATAAGTAACTATGTGATAGCAATATATATGACAAAGAACAATATGGCTATCACAAAGTAAAGTGCATAAGTAAAGGGCTCGGGTAAGAGATAACCGAGGCACGCGGAGACGACGATGTATCCCGAAGTTCACACCCTTGCGGATGCTAATCTTCATTTGGAGCGGTGTGGAGGCACAATGCTCCCCAAGAAGCCACTAGGGCCACCGTAATCTCCTCACGCCCTCGCACAATGCAAGATGCCGTGATTCCACTAAGGGACCCTTGAGGGCAGTCACCGAACCCGTACAAATGGCGACCCTTGGGGGCGGTCACCGAACCCGTACACTTTGGCAACCCTTGGGGGCGGTCACCGGTACCCGTCAAATTGCTCGGGGCAATCTCCACAACCTAATTGGAGACCCCGACGCTTGCCCTGAGCTTTACACCATAATGATTGAGCTCCAAGCACCACCAACCGTCTAGGGCACCAAAGCACCCAAGAGGAACAAGCTCAAGGGCACCAAGCACCCAAGTGTAATAAGCTTCTCAACTTGAAACTTCCACGTATCATCGTGGAGAACTCAAATCGATGCACCAAATGCAATGGCAAGGGCACACAGAGTGCCCAAGTCCTTCTCTCCCAAATCCCACCGAAACAACTAATGCTAGGGAGGAAAATGAGAGGAAGAACAAGAAGGAGAACACCAAGAACTCCAAGGTCTAGATTCAAGGGGTTCCCCTCACTTAGAGGAGAAAGTGATTGGTGGAAACGTGGATCTAGATCTCCTCTCTCTTTTCCCTCAAGAACTAGAAAGAATCGTTGGAGGGATTGAGAGTTAGCAAGCTCGAAGAAGGTCAACAATGGGGGAAGAACATGAGCTCAAAGGATAAGGTTCAATGGGGAAGAAGACCCCCTTTTATAGGTGGGAAAAATCCAACCGTTATGCCCACAGCCCGCACAGAGCGGTACTACCGCTCCAAGGAGCGGTACTATCGCTAGGGCGGTAGTACCCCTTTGAAAAACAACAGCGAGGAGGCAAAAGGCCAGTAGAACCGATGGAGCGGTACTACCGCTCGACCTCACGATACTACCGCAAATGGTAGCGGTACTACTGCTTGCGGGCGGTACTAAAAAAATACTTCCGTGCCTACTTACGCTGAGCAAAACACGAGATTTTGGTCCGGAGCGGTACTACTGCTTAGGAGCCGCGGTAGTACTGCTCTGGAGCGGTACTGCCGCTCAGGAGCCGCGGTAGTACCGCTTTGGAGCGGTAGTAAAAAATTACATCCGCTCTAGTCGCGGTAGTACCGTTGCAGCCTATACCAAAACAGCCACAACTTTTGCAAACGGACTCCGAATTCAACGAAACCAAGTTTATTGGAAAGCTAACGACATGGGCTAACACAATCTTGATAGAAATATCAAGAATAAGCAAATGAGAAAAGACCCATAAGAAAAAGGTGAGAACCCTTCCTCGGATAAGACCGGTAAAATCTCCAACACCGAAAACATCATAGAAGACGCATGCAAACTCCGTTTTCGATGAACTCAAGCTTGTCATCAAGATGACCATAATCTCTAAGACTCACGAAGATAACCAAACAAGAACCAAGAAAAATGATTCAAGGATGCAATGTTTTAAGCTCTCTACTAACGATACGATCAAGCTACCAACTTGAGAGCCCCCCTTGATAGTACGGCAAACGATCCTATAACCCGGTCTCCCAACTACCACCACGATACCGGTAAAATAGAAAACCTATCAAGGGAAAACCTTTGCCTTGCACATGGTCCACTTGAGCTAGATGAAGACGATCTTGACTCCCTCAAGTTGGACCACCTTTCTTGATTGCGTTGGCTCGATGAAGACTAGATGATTGCTCCCCCATAGTCCACTATGGGTGAGCCACTCTTAGGCACATCTTCACAAGTCCATTGACACCACAATGGATGGCAAGATTCAAGCACTTGATCTCTTCGTGATGCTCCACTTGAACTTGCACACGGCAATCTTGATGACGATCACCACTTGATGTCATCCTTTCCATGGGTTGTATGATATCTGCCTCTTGACGCAAGCCCATGGACATGTACCTAACCCCACATAGAACTCTCACATAGACCATGGGTTAGTACACAAAGTGCAATGGACAATGCTTACCATACCATGGGATCACTTGATCCCTCTCGGTACATCTTCCACGCTTTGTGAGTTGATCAACTTGATTCACTCTTGACTTAGTCTTGATCAACTTGATTCACTCTTGACTTAGTCTTGATCAACCTTGAATCTTTCCAACTCTCTTCATTTGGATGATGTCTTGAAGGTAAACATGAATGATCACACAATCTTCTTCTTCAAGACATGCTTGCAATAAGCTCAACACTCACATGACCAATCTTTGGATAATTCCTTAATAGCACCTTGGTGAACACATAAACTCCTTGAAACCAACACATGGACTTCAAGAAAAGCCTATCGACAAATCCTTCAAATATAACTCAAGACAACCATTAGTCCATAGAGATCGTCATCAATTACCAAAACCAAACATGGGGGCACCACATGTTCTTTCACCCTTCATATGTTTAGTGAGGGTGGTTGTACCAAAGCATGACTCATCGATAAGAGTCTGTCGTCCTAATCACAGAAGGCCATCCAACATGTAATATCAACATGGTAGATTATGTTATAGAGGTATTACTTGTCGCCCCCTTAATTTAATTAAGGGTGGAGATTAAAACATAGAGCTACTCGTTGCTACAGAAGGCCATCCAACACTATTAGATGTGGGTTTAAATGGTATTTCCTAAAAAAAAGCCAAGAAACTTACAATCTATTCATCTCAAATCATGGTACTACAAGTCTACAAAGAACATCGAAGGTAATAATAATTACAATCAGGTCCGTGGACCATCTAGCAACGACTACAAGCACTGGAGCGAGTCGAAGGCGCGCCGCCATCATCGTCCCTTCCTCATCGTAATCAGGCAAACCTAGTTGTATTAGACATTCGGGAAGTCATCGTGCGAATCACCCACTGGACCAGTGCACCAGAGCAGCAATCATCACCGATGAAAAAGTCATAAATTGAAAGCATCAAACCTGTAGACACACAAACCAAGACGAACAAAATCAGATCCAAACAGATACACCAAAGGCTAGCGCCGATCGAATCCCGCGAGCTCCAATGGAGACACACCTCCACATGTTGTTCGCCAATGCTAGACGCATCATCGGAACGGGGATAGAACGTGGGAGATATTATTCCTAACGAGGGACATCGCCGCCGCCACACAGTCTCAACCAAGACACTGAACATAACAAGAACGAGAACAGGGTCCCTTCTACTGGCGGGGAGGGGGGGGGGAGGGAGATCCACCGCTCCTCCATGGCCCAAAGGCCAGCTGAGATGGGGCGGATCGACGGCGGCGCCAACGGAAGGAAGAGGAAAGCTTGGGCTGTTTTCTTGTGGAGGAGGAAAGAGATTCTCAATTTTTATTATTTATTAAAACACTAACCTCGTTTTGGGAGGTTGAGGGGACGTTCCATTTCGTTTTGGCCGCAACCCGCAAGGAAGGTTTAGGCCTGCTTCCTGCCCGAAAGAAGGCTAGCCGGACTAGTGGTAAGGGACCCGAACGTAAAAACCCTACCCTTTTCTCGAACCCTCTGCCGAGCTCTACCCTGCCTGCATTTATTTGGAAGGGGGCCAAAGAAATGTATCCACCTGCTGCCAACATTCTTGCTTCGGAATTCTACTGAATGGGTCGATCCCCCCCTCCGTTTGTTTTAGCAACTTATCCTAAGGTCTCTTCGCCAAGAACTCTCCGGCAACGACAAATGAACTAACCTGCATGGTCTCCCCTTATTCAGTTCCCGTCTCCCACCGTCGAATGCTATTTTTTTCACAATAAATTTCTGCCAGAAGTATGCGGGGATGGATCAGCGATAGGTGGTCCTGTTATGTTGGCATGGTTCCGGACCATGTTCTGAGGAATCTGATAATTATTCAGAATTAATAGTGCCTACTTCAGTGCAGGAGTTCTGAAGACTCATATAGAAATCATCATTGGTTAATTCCTATTTTGATCAGGCTGACTGAATATACAAGTTGGCATTATTTCCACGGTTAGTCTTCAGTAGCATCCCATACGTGGCTGTGTTTACCTCTCAATAATCTGCCAGTGTTCAGAATTCGTAATCGGTTCAGTTGAGGCTTTTGTTGATGATCGGAAGTTAGTTTCTTGTCCAAACGAAAGTTCTGTATTGGGAGCAAAAAGTAACACCTGGGTCATTATTTACTAATACTGCATGTAATCCTTGCTATTGTGAAAGTTGCTAGAAATTTTGTACACGCGTTGCTTGAAATTTTGCGGTATGCACCAATTTAGAGGAATCTTGCCTGGCCTAGTCTTCGCTAGACATTTTCAGTTGGTTTCTAGGTATTCTGGGAGCCGGATCACTTTTCTGCATTTAAATTAGATTTTTTCCTAGAATAATTAATGAAAACCTAAGATTAGACACTCATGTACACAATGCACAGAAAGATGATAGACAGTCAACGTGTGGTTTAAGAAACAAGAAATGTCATCAAACATGAAAAGCCACCATGTATGTCACGGAATTTTAAATCCGATTTTGATCCACACGTTAAGAAACAAAAATTGTGTAAATCATAATTAAAGGTACTCCTCGCTCCTTATATTTTGAGTGCAAGAATTTATATGCCAGATCTAATATTGTAAATCAAGATAGGTATAACCCATAAGAGAGAATATTGTCGCCAAACCAATAAAGTTTTATCTTGGCAAAATAAATCGTAAACAAGAAAATCTAGTACTGAAAAAGACTTTCGCCCCGCTTTATATATATATAAAGCAACACGGCCGAACCAATACAAGGTGATGAGGGAAACCTCTACAAGAAAGAAAATCTAGTACAACCATCCAGTGCACTCAACAGAGCCACATAAGCATCGTTTCTTCTTGATGTTACCTTCAGAGTCATGGACCCCATCTATGGTATAATTATAGTCATATGATAGTGGTTCAAGAGGCTGAATATCCTCACAAGCAAAGAGCATGATGTGAGGCATACCCTTGTTGTCATGGTCATAGAGAACATTTTGTGTGAAAAGGTTAGGGGTGCAGCTATGGTTGATGAACCTTGCAAGGTTGCCACATTTCAGTGCGTCCACTGCAAAGAAATTTTCTTCCTCTTCCCCAGGGCCATTCATAAGTGAGGGGATAGTCTTTTGTAAGTTGTCCCAGCGGGATACATCATAATAGTTGTTTCCAATAAGGAACAAGTACTCATCATTACCCCTCTCCTGAGCATCTTCATTATCCAACAACTCCCCTATATATTCACACACAAAACGTCCTGTAGGTATAAAATCAAGGCTTCGTACTCCCCAACCCATTGATGTTGTCTTGAAGACTTGAAGGCGAAAACTAATTCCATGTTGGCCCACTCTATTGCGACAAGTTGGAGGGCACTTGCATGAAGGTCCACACTCGTAAATAAGAGGTTTTTCCTCTAGGAGACCACCGGTCTTTCTGAAAGGGATCTTCCCACCATTTTTCATTACACATGCACACTTTTGCGAGTCCGAACATCGACCAACACAATCACAACCTGATGGAGGATCTAGCTGATACTTCCTGAGGTATTGTATGTGTGAAATGTAGCGAAATGGAGCCGGGGCCTCGTTTGATATGGAGTTGATTGCAGATATAGGGATCTTCTCAAGACCTGACGATATATCTACAGTAAAAGTTCCATTGGATGGTTCATCCATTCTTTTTTCCACAAGTTCATGAATGTTGATGCTCGGTTGCCCCGACAATCTTCTCAGATGAAAAGTGCTAATATGTTTGTCTTCCCTCAGTTTCTCTTTGCTAAATTTCTCGACCAAATATAAACCACCATAAACATAGTATGTAAGCTCCTCACGGCCGGTCATAACAAACCTATAAATGACACGCACATGTGTTTTGGTATCCATACTCTGCTTTAGCGCCAAGTCGGTACCTTCCATGTTCTGGCCAGTGGTGGCAGCCACAGACCCAACATGTAGCAAGAAATCCAGATTGTTATTTTGGGCAGACTGTTGCGCGTACGACACGATGCTAACGGCTAGACATGTCCTGCCCCCGTTCTGATTGATGTAATCAACACGCGACTGCTGTGTACGATGGAGACCAACAAGGAAAAGCTCGGCGTCCGAATCAAACACGTCACCAACATGAACTCCAGGAACGCTACCCAAGTACCTCCTATCATCAAATTCAACACATAGCCTCTCCCTGAAGACTTGAAAGGCTGCAAGATCATGTTCTTGTTTACCGCAGTCGGCCTTTTCTTGGGCCACAAGCTGCCTGTAAATTAGCCGGAATTCCTGCAAAGAAGCCATGACGCTTTCTCTGCTGATGGCGACTCTGTTCTTTGGCATTGGACGATGACGATCACCATTGTCAACCTTTGTTTTGTTGGGTACAGAAGCAGCAGCAGCAACTCCTATATGCCTGGAACCATCCATGGACTTGGAAGCTCCAGTACCATCAGTGGACATGGAAGTTCCAGTTGCAGGAAGTCCATCGGATCCGCCGTCCTGGCTTAAACCCTGTGACCGTGGCCGCTTGTACCCAATCTGAAATCTCCATGGCAATACGGCCTTGCGCCCCTTGCGGCAACCACCCGTACCTAATCTCGTCATCATCGAACTGTTCTCCCACGTAGCGCCGTTGCACTGAGAGGCCTGCTGGGTGCTAGGTTTGGCGGCCACACTTGGCTCCACGGTGCCTCCATGGCCATTGAGTACCTCATCTACGTTGCGGACCTTTGAGGTCGCCATGATCGCCTCCATCTGAAGTTGCTGCTGCAGCCCTCTTGGTGTGGTCAAGATCAAACCAACATCCCTAGAGACCTGTATTACACAGATTGATGATTCATCGGACAATGAAATAGGACTAGGAACGGACGGGACTAGGGAGCAGAGGAGGAGCTGTGCCTGAAGGAAACGGAGGAGGACGAGACGAGATCCGCCGCGTCTCGGGTTGCCGGCATGTCCGCCGTCAGACTCGTCATGAATTGGAATTGCCGGCTGTGGTTCCTAAACTTACGAGATTCTGTTAGCAGGCACGTACGAGATAAGTTTGTTTAACCCCCGAAACTATTGAGGTACGTACGTGCGAGTCCCGGTGTCCCGAGCGTCTGGTGCACGTACGACCTTGCCCTATTTATGTATATATATCCGTATAAATATAAATCTGATGGAGATTGATCGTGCCAATCCATTACGATCCGATCCGATCCAGCCCGCCGTCTTCGCCGTAAACGATCGAGGACCTATCAATGGCATGTAAACGACCGAAACTATGAGGTACGTACGTGCACGTCCCGGTGTCCCGAGCGTCCGGTGCACGTACAAGTCGACCTTGCTCTATTTATGTATATTCTGTATAAAGGTAAATCCGATGGATATTGATCGTGCCAAGCTAATCCATATCCGATCTTCTTAGTAAACGATCGAGGAGCTATCAATGGCATGCGGCGGCCGCCGGCGGCAGTGGTCCGAGCTCCCCGAGGACATGCTCGACAAGATCTACCGTGGCTGCCTCTCATCTCCGTACGACCGAGCTCGCTTCGCCGCCGTCTGTGCGTCATGGCGCGCCGTCGCGTCGTGGCACCCCACGCTGCCAGCTCTCCCCCTCCTGCTACCCTGGACGGGAGACGCCAAGCGTGACCGAAAGGCGCGAGCATACAGCCTCCAGGACGGCCACGTCTTACGTTCCCCTCTTCGGGGGTTCCTATGGGGCAAGCGGCTAGTCGGATCCCACGGCGGTGGCTGGATAGCCGCCACAGCCGGCACTCATGTCGTCATCGTGAATCTCTTCTCCGGCGCTCAGGTGGAGCTCTCCGCCAAACAGAGCATCATTGGGTGTAAATGCCCAACCAAACGGCTGCTGGCATTCAATCAGAGAGCCAATCTTGTCTCCGTTCCAAAAATCATCTTCTCGGAGGAACCCCTCCTCGAGTGATTGCATCCTTGCTGCGATAACCACAAGATGCAAGATAGCGGTATGCAGAATTGGCAGTCCGAACCGTGGGTGGACGACTAGAGGATGTGGTGCCTCTGAATGTAAGGAGATCACAGACATTGCCTTCTGCAACGGCATGATCTATGCTATTATGTCTGACAAGTTGTTCAGGTTCACCGTTGGCACAAATGCAAACGGTGCTCTGATTAAAATGAAAGAGAGCTTGCATGTGCGCATTTCTGCGTCCGACCAAATCTTCGAGCTACAAGGCAAGCTAGCGATGGCTGTGAAGTCCTCATCGTGGGCTCAAACTTTTAGGGTTTTTGAGCTTGACGATGGTGGCACAGCGCCGCCAGTATACCACAGGTTTGAATGGATAGAGGTGACGAGTTTAGGTGACCATGCTTTATTCTTGGGGCCAGCATGCTGCAAGGCGGTGCATGTGTCTGTGACTGCTGGATGCAACAGGGTGGAAAGGAATCACATTTACTACTCCAAGCAACACTTACCTTCAAACGATAACGTAGAGTGCTCAAAAGGGCTCGACCTCGGCAGTTATACCGTGTATTGCAGAAATAGTGTAGGCATGGATCGCTCGGAGAGGATCATATCACACGGATACCAGTACCGTCATGAGGATGGAGGTAATGCTTGTGTTTGGGTTCTGCCCCTGGACTTCTAATTCCTCGTTCATGCATGTATTGAGAGAATGTTAAAGGGCAGTAATATCCACATGCTTAAACTTATGTAGTTTCTCTTTTTGGCGAGGTATAGTGCTGTTAGGGCACTTCTAACCAATCCCCCCCAAAAAAAGCGGAGTACCCGGCTTAGTAAACCTTAGTGGAGTATTTTACAAGTTTGTGCACTAAACTGACCACCACGTGCAAGTTGTAAGATATAAGAAAAGGCATGAATAGAAAGGCAATGAGATGAAATATGCGAAATAAGTGGATCCATGCAGGCCGGTAATTAGTGCATGAGTGGAAGCGAGTAAATTACGGGAGGAAATAATTTTTTTTGAACCGGGCATAACCCCTTTCCATTACTGCGACATAACAGAAATACATAGGTCCACAGAATGAGACGGGAGAGGGGAAAGCGAGTTCAAGGATCGCCCTGAAACCTACTGTGAGCACTCGCCATCGAGATTACCCACTGCAGGGCGAAAACCCGACGACACTACTAAGTCTTAAGAACATTAAGGTCTATGACCAAGCCTCATAACACAGGCTACTAACCCACATTGCTCACAAATGAGCATCAATAGATAGAGAGTTCCATGCAGGAGCAAAAGAGCGAACGCTGGTACTGCCGAGGAAGACCGGGGACGCCGTCTTCTTTTAGTGCGCCCCCTCACTTTGGCTAACAGAGCTACATTTGAATTTAGACATCTCAAATCTCCTTTTGAGTGCAGTTTTTCTATTTGTGCTCTCTTGTGCTATTGGGCAGGTTGGATATGCTGAGTAACAGCGCGTCGAAGATGATGCGCCCAGGACCTGCAGACCGCCCTGAAGCGGGCATGGTCGTACGCCGAGGAGCACACGACGTAGACCGCGTCGAGGAGGTCGTCCGGGAGCTCGGACCACCCCTATTGCTGTCGGACGACTCCGCCGGCGGAGGCGGCCATGTGATTCGCTCTTGATGGTTGCAGCGAGAGCGGCGGTGGATCGGATCTGGCCTTGTTGATTGACATCATGTTTTTTTGGCTGGTTCATTGGGCTCTTTATCTTCGGCTTTAGGGTTTTCGAGGCCTGCAGACAGACACAATCCTTGGATGCCATAAGGAATTATCACCAAAGGCTACGATGAAAAGAGGAGGTTGGGTCCAACCTTCAAGGGGGTTTGTAAAACATAATGTGGATGCCTCTTTTGATCATGACCAGCTCAGGGGCACGGCTAGTGCAGTTCTGAGAGATGATGAAGGAAAATTCATTGCAGGGGGGATTGGAGAATTGATTGGTGCACGGGCGTTCTGACGGCTGAAGCTATGGCGCTTAGATATGGTCTATCTATTGCTCGAAGGGCGGGCTGTAACCGCAGTTATTAACTCAGATAACATGGAGGTCATCGAAACCATGAATAATGGAGGACGGTCATCTAGTACAGCGGCGGCAGTGTTTGACGATTGTTATTTTTTAGCATGTGACTTTCCCATTACTAAATTTGAGCATTGTAATAGAGAAGCAAATTAGGTCGCACATGAACTTGCTATGTTAGCTAGATTTTCTTCATCTTTGGACTAGTTTAAAGAGCCCTTGAGCGAAATTGTACCCCTCCTCATAAACGATGTACTTGTTATTGCAAATGAATAAAGTTTCTATGTTCTTTAAAAAAAAATCAGCCCATGATCCCTTGCATCTGTACGTACGTATATACTATCAAGCCCAAGGACATTGACCTGCGTACAACTCTTTTCAATCAATCTATCGCTCTCGCAACACAACCCTACACGTAGGAACTCCAACCATCGATGGCCAGCGACGTCCAAGGGCGGTAGCCTGACATGCCCGGCGACCTCCTGCGCGTGATCTACGGGCTGTGCTCCTCACGGCAGTACGACCGCGCGCGTTTTGCTGCCGTCTGCACGTCCTGGCACGCGGTCGCGTCATGGCATCCAAAGCCGCCGGCCATCCCAGTGCTGGTACCATCGACTAGCAATGGCCAGCATGACCGGGCGATGCGGGCGTACAGCCCGGAGGAGGGCAGGGTCTTGCCCAAGCCCCTGCCCTGCTTCCCTAGGGGTTGGCGGATCGTCGGATCCCATGATGGTGGATGGGTGGCCGCCGTCCTGGGCCCTCAGGTCGTGCTCGTAAACCTCTTCACGTGCGCCCGGGTGCCGCTCCCTAGGGACTTTGCATGTCGATGTCCCACTACTCAAAAAACCACAAGCAAGATCTTCATCCAAAAAATTGTCTTCTCCAAGAGCCCTTCCTCACAAGGCTGCATCCTCGCCGCGATAACCACAAGATGTGGTCTTGCGGTCCATAAACTTGGATGTAAGGATGAAGATGGGTGGACCACACGAGGATGCGGCACCGACATATGCCCGAGCCTAGCAGACATTGCTTTCTACAACGACGAGCTCTATGGCCTCGTGAGTTTTGGGATGTTATATAGCTTCGTTCTTGGCCGAAACAATACTGGAGCTCCAGTAGTCACTGCATTCAATATAGTAACTTTCGACATACCCATCTACGGGCATGGACATGGGATGCTACACTATGCCAACTACATAGTGGAGCTGCGCGGCAAGTTGGCGATAGCGGCGCAGGTCGGCCATTACAAGGCTCATAGTTTTAGAGTGTTTGAGCTTGTCAACAGCGCCACGAGATGGCCACACAAATACACGTGGTCAGAGGTGGCTAGCTTGGGCGACCACGCATTATTCCTAGGGCCAAGATGTTGCAAGGCGGTACAGGTTTCAGGCGTGGGTATGCACAGCATTGTGGAAGCGAACTGTATCTACTACTCCTCTCGCCACGGTGACGTCGTGGACTGCTTAGCTATATTGGATCTCGGTAGCTGCGCCATTTATTGTTGGGAAAGCGATAATGTGGTTGACTCGGAAAGGATCATGTCACGTGGATACCACTACCGCGAGAAGGATGAAAACTATGATTATGGTGAGAGTGATGGTGGTAATGGCCATAATACTTGTACCTGGGTTCTGCCTCCACAAATTTAATTTTCCTACCGTCACGTGCTGATACCACGTTATTATGTAGGCGTGTTTATCCTTTATGTACTCTAGAGTATATTCTCTACGTTTGTGCTTGCAGAACTGCTATCATGACCACAAAAAATGTGCGTGCAAAATATGAACATGTCCTGTTATACATATTGCCTAAAAAAGAGGATAGTTTTATGACCAAATTTGGAGGTTTTATCAAAGCTTCTACCTTCTTTCAAGGATATATATATGTTGATTGTGCAAATAGGAGATTTTTCTTAGCTTCGCAAGATAAGAATCAGAGACAATTTATTTGAGCAGCTGGCCGCTTGTATGCATGTGAGCTTTAGTAGCTTTAGATATTCAGTTTTTTAGAGAAACACTAGGAAATTTGCATTTGCAATGAAATGTACACAGAAAAATTGGAAAAGGCAGGAAAGGATTTTTTTTTTACATCATTGCATCATTTTTGCCCTGCATCACGATTCACGTATAATGACATGAATTGCATTTGCCATTGCCTACCATCCTGTAACCGCCTCTTCTCCACCGTGAAGCCCGTCCGAGTGTCTACCATCGCATGGTGATGGCCCCACACAGCAGCAGTTTCGCTGAGCATGTACCGATCTACTCCTCTTTACCCAACAATTTTTATTTTTTGATAGTACTCTCTACCCAACAATTTCGGTCAGGAGAACACGCAAGCAACTAGCAGCGCAAGGCCATTAACCTTGACGAGGCCCACCTGTGTGAGCATCCGGTCTAGGGCATGCATCCACCCTCTCCACATCAGTTGGGGGCCGGTGGGACGCTAACGGCTGTTGGGACTTACAAAGTCTAGGAGTCTAATTTGTTTTGGGGGATTACTCTGCGCCGGCGCGCCGGCCCAAGCACTCGGCCGGTCGCAGCCTGGCCGTTGGATGAGGCAACCTCCACCCGTTGATTTCCCATGCAACTCTTTTGCATCTCGCGTTGACCAACAACACCAACAACTTGTGTTCGCGACAGACTCTGCCCTCGCTGCCGCCCGCGCTTGCTGGTGAACCGCGCGACCCACGCTCGTCGCCATGGCCGTCGTCCCGAGCATCGCGAGGTCGCCGTCACCGCCAGCAGGTCGTCGTCGCCAGCAGCCTTGCTGCGTCCTTCAACAGGCCGCCGTCGTTGCTAGCAGCCCTGTTGCGTCTGTTGCAACTTGGTGACGCCGTCATGCCGAGCATCGCGTGGTCGCCGTAGAGTCGCCGGCCTGGTCATGGCAACATCGGCCGCCGCTGCCGCAGTAGCAACTCTGGTGGCGTCGTGTGGCCATCCCACGCCGTTGCCGGTTCCAGCAAATATCGATGCTTGATGGAGCAAATTATGTCGCTGGATGCAGCTTTGCCACATCAATTCTCCACTGGTTCCTTGCATCTCGCATCCTTGTCGAGCGTCGAAGCACCCCCGCCCATCGATGGTAGCAGCATCGACGCCGCCGGGCCTTGCGTCTCGCATCCTCATCGAGCGTCGCCGGTTGAAGGTTGCCATGCGTGCCACCCCCAGCATCCCATCACCCCATTCGCTGGTTCCAGCAAAGAGAAACGATGATTCCAACAAAAAACGCCACCGGACACAGCAAAGTCGACTGTCGATCCCAACAAAAAACAACACTCCAGTCATCCCGTCACCTCCTTTGCTGGTTCCAGCAAAATAAATCATCAATTCCAGCAAAACTAGACATCGGTTCCAGCAAAAATAGATTACCGTCCTTGTAGCAAAAAACACCACTGGTTCCAGCATCCCGCTGCCACGGTTCCAGCACCGCGTCCCCGTCGGACGCTGTCATCGTAGCTTTTTAGATGGTTGGTTGCAGCCTTTCCAACGCCCGGTTGAAGCACAGAAAACATTGACGGCCGTCGTTGTAACACGCATGGCCGGTTCGTGTGTGCCACGGGTGCTGCAACCGATGGCAGGCTCCGGTGCTGTAACCGACGGCGGGCTTTGCCATCCTAAGCCACCGTCGTCGTGTGCGTTGCCGTCTCCACCGCGACAGCAGCTGGTTGCAGCCTTTTACCCAGCCGGTCCCAGCAAAAGAATTAACCGGTTGTAGCATCAGGGTGCGTGTCTCCATCATCGAGCAACTGCTACTGACCGCACCGCCCATGGCCTCCGCCGCCCCAGTTGCATGACTGCCCTGTCAAATCCGTGAGAGGAGGAGCCAGGGGAGCGCCATAGCCATAGGAAGGAAGGAGCCGCACGAGCACCACATCAGGAAAATGTCGCTCGTCCGGGAAGATTGACCATGGCCGGGAGTTGGAGTGAGGGGGATTGGAAGGAAAGAGACGGGTGAAACGAGTGGCTCTGCTGCGTCGGGTTGGATAAGAAGAAGGAGAGAAAAAGCAAGCGGTGCGCATGGGCCCAGAGTGTGACGTGAGGGCGCACCCGCGTGAGCGAGCGAGGCTCGCCGATTCCAAAGGTTTCCCTTTGTTTTTTTCTGTTATTTTATGTACGTGCAACCATGCATGGTGTCAAATGTTTGATATCCTTAAGAAGTATAAGGCCTGGTCATGCTGTGTTAATGACGGGCTAGTTGCGCGTTCTCGAATCCTCAGACGTAGGACAAAGACTGTCGAGCGGCAGCTACCGTGTTAAGGGCAACTGCCACAACTGTTGAATTCAGGACCACATGGCTAGGGATTGCCACAAACTGAAGCAGAAGCCCAAGGAAGGGGCAACCTCAACCAGGCGAAGAGGACACTCCGTCAACCAGCCCGCGTTGCTCATGGCGGTGTGTTGTGGGCTCGCCCTGATCAACAACACTCCGTCATACGATCCTAACCCGGCATAGTGCACACAAGGCGACCCAGCCACCATCATGGCCACCAATGATCCATCTCCCCGTGGCGTTTCTTGGGACCGGTAAGTGCACGACCTCGCTGTCTACGGGGCAGTACATGGGCTTCTTCCTGTTGCCGTCGCGAGCCGAGAGGAGCAGCCACGGGAGCGTGGGCACTGGCCCGACAGAGCGCGCGGCGGCGCACAACGACCGGCAGACGGCGGCGAAGCGCATGCGGCCCCGCGGCGAGGCGATCATGCGAGAGATGAGGGCGAGGAAATCATCAGAAAACGTGTGCGCTTCGTGTCCGGCACGTCGCCGACGACGGCCAGCGACATACCGGCCAACTTCCTATCTATTTGATCTGATGTCCGGCCGGGTAGGAAAAGACCTGTTTTTTATTTCTATATAACTGAGAAAGATCTGTTTGTTGGCCGGATGGTACACGTTTTGTAATTAGCATTACTAGGATTAGGAGATCGTACGTGACGGGCGCGAGACGTAAACGTTGTTATATACGACGACACAACAAAATCGACCTACGAACGATGCTAGAATTAAAACCTGTCCGTGTCCGGCTCATACATGGAGATGTTCCTTATAGGAGTATAGGACGCGCGTATATAGGCTCCGTGGGTGCTGCCGTGGGTGTCTTCAGCATCGTACGAGTACTTGCGCGCGCGAGTTCCGTCGGAAAGTAATTGTTGGGAGCTACGCGTGCCGCGTGAGCGTACCGTCAACCTCGTCGGGTCCTCTGTCACAAACGACAACACGTCGATGGCCGGCGCCGAAGGGCTTCCCGACGACCTCCTCGGGGCGATCTACCACCGCTGCTCCTCGCCGTACAACCGCGCGCGCTTCGCTGCTGTCTGCAGGTCGTGGCGCGCCGCTGCGTTGGCATGGCGCACGCCGCTGCCAGCTCTCCCACTGCTCCTCCCAATGACGGGCAACGGCCAGTGCGACCGGATGGCTCGGGCATACAGCCCTGAGGATGGCAGGGTCCTGGGCGCTCCGCTGCCATACTTCCCGTATGGCAAGAGGATCGTGGGGTGCCATGACGGCGGCTGGGTTGCCGCCACCATTGGCTGCAGGGTTGTGGTCGTGAACCTCTTCACTCGTGCCCGGTTGATGCAAAGGGACTTCAGATGTAGATGCCCAACCGCTCCAGGAAGGACCGACAAAATCTCCCTCGACAAAGTCGTCTTCTCGGATGACCCTGCCACAGAAGGCTGTATCATGGCCGCGATAACGAGCAAGTGTACAATACTGCTCTGCAGGCTTGACTGTAAGGGCGCCAATGGGTGGAGCACAGGAGGATGCGGCACGGCCAACATTCCGAACCCTGTAGACATCACCTTCTACAACGGAGAGCTCTACGGCCTCTCGTATGCTGGATTTTTACACAGGTTCACCATCGACCGAAACAAGTATGACCCTTACGTGGTCAATTGGCACTGTGTCCAACAAGTAACCACGGAAAGGCCCATCGGGCATGGCGGCACCAAATACATCTTTGAGCTACGTGGCAACCTAGCCGTAGCAGTGCCAGTCAGCATTTGCAATGCTCAAACTTTTAAGGTGTTCGAGCTTGTCGCCTGTTGGGACAGTACAAAAGGGTCATACTACACATGGGTTGAGGTGACGAACTTGGGGGACCACGCCTTGTTCCTAGGGCCAGGATGCTGCAAGGCGGTGCATGTGTCATCAATGGGGGTCATGCACGGTGTCGTACAAGCGAACCGTATCTACTACTCATGTCCCGGAAGCTGCGTGAACCATTTTGCTACGTTGGATCTAGGTAGTTGTAAAGTGTATTGTTCAGGAAGTGACAACTTGCAATACTCCGATAGAATTATCTCAAAGGGATACCATTACTACACATACGGTACTAGTTGGGAGAACAGTTGTACATGGGTTCTCCCTCCAGACTTTTAGCTGCTTTGCACATGCATGCGGGTACCACATTATTATCTTATTTCCATCGAGTGATATTCATTCACTTTACCTTGTTTCCATCGAGGAACAATTATAACAGTTGTTTTGTTTTTTATGTTATTTATAATGTCGTGTATGTTGATTTTTTTCTATGACTTTATAGTTTGTACCTTGTTGATTTCTCATCCAATCAAATCAAACAAGGAAAAATATCTCAGCAAACTAACAATTGGTGTGTGTCATATGATCATGTTCTTCCTCTCTAGACTTGCATATGTATGTAGTCATGTAGTCAAAATTTGAGCAGGGCGTTTTGGAGAACGAGCTACTTGGCGCTTGGAATCCCGGCCAAACGATTGAGCATCCATAGCCGCATCTAGCTGATCCGATCCCTCAAACGCTCGGCGCATCCGCATGCACTGACCGGATCCACCAGCAACTTTTCAATGCCTCGCCCACCGCCGCCCTCTCCCTCACCCGTTGCCACTCGTGTCATGTGGCATGTGGCTTCGACTAGGACGTCCTTGACAGGCCCAGTGCCAGTGAGGGCATGAGCACCCAAAAGTGGCCGTGGACGAAATCCGGAGGTGGTTGAGAAAGGGCGGGGTGGCGTACCTAGAGTGGAGTGGGTCGGGTGGAGCTGTGGCCGGTGCTGTGTGCCGGACGGGAGGGCCCTGCAACATCTCTCCCAATGCGACGTTGGGCGAAAGGGGGACAGCGCGTCGGAGTATGAGCTACTGCCACCCCAATCAGGTCGCGGCCGGCACAGTGCGATGCGGAGAGCGACCACATCCACGTCGGAGTCATCGCCGCCGGAGCCGGCGCTACTGCGGTCGGACGCCATACATGTGATTGGGAAGAGGAGGGGACAAAGAGAGTGTAGGGAGTGGACTGGAGCGGATTGAGGTCTAGGATTGGTCGATCGTTAGATATTTGTGGGGGCTTCGGGTTGTTCGTTATAGGGCTCTGGCGATGGATATTTGAGTTCGTATAACTAATGTGAGCTATTGGCCTTTTATGAACTTCCACCTATCCATATTTTGCTAGCCTCTTCGGTACCGTGCATTGCTCACTATCACCTCGAAACATTGTGCAAGACTCACCTGGTGCATCCAAACCCCAACTTGTATTGTCATGCAACTTCCATTGTTATTTTACACATTACATGACTTGAGTTTCATTGTCATCTTGCTTTGCATGATCATATAGAGCTGACATGATATTTGTGACAAGGCCACCGTTCATCATTGCTTAAAAGTTATGCTAGGTCAGTGTACATCTTTGTACATTGCCGGCGGCATTCATTTGTAGACATCATTTACATTCCGAGTTTTGTTTACTTTGCGGAAAAACTTCCAATCTATTCGAAATCAATCATATTAGTACAACGAATGCCAGAAATAATAAAAATTACATCTTGATTCGTAGACCACCTAGCGACGACTATAAGCACTGAAGCAAGCCGAAGGCGTGCCGCCATCATCACCCCTCCCTCGCTAGAGCCAAGAAAGACTTGTTGTAATAGATAGTCGGGAAGTCGTCGTGCTAAGGCCGTATAGGACCAGCGTACCAGAATAGCAACAAACCAAGACGAATGAAAATTGGATCCAAAACGATCCACCGAAGACCAGCACTGATCGAATCCCGCGTGATCCGACGGAGACACACCTTCACATGCGCTCCACAGATGATAGACGCATCATCGGGATGGGGATAGAATGTGCAAGATATTATTCCTACCCAGGGGCATCGCCGCCGCCACACAACCCCAACCAAGATATTGAACCTAACAAGAACGAG